ACTTTTACAGCCACATCATCATCAGCCTCTCATTAATCAAATGTTCACTTTGTCTGGTTTTGTTGCAGTCTGCCCCAAATAAAGTGAGCGTTTATAAAATTGGGTACGTCATGTGATTGATAATGATCTGCAGAACAAAATTCGGGCTGGATGATTCGTACCAAGTGACACAAATTGTGGGCGATCACATTACTATTACGATTATGGTTAATCAATATTAATAATATTAATATTAATATATCAAAATTGTTAAATTTTCAACAATGTTATCAATTCATACGATCGATATTTCGTAATCTGGATGATGCAAGCATATCAAAATTGTTAATTCTTCAACAATGTGTGTATCGATCATACGATATGACGCGCATGATACATCGTAATCTGGAGCTGCAGTATATCAAAATTATTAATTCTTCAACAACGCTATCAATCGTACGATCAATACTTCGTAATCTGGATGCAGTATATCAAAACTGTTAATCCTTCAACAATGCTATAATATGCAATTAGGTCGACACCTTTATCACGGCCGGCAAAAGCGAAATTTCCTACTCGAAGAGTGTTCACGATAGAATTTTCTAATTGGGTTCTGGCATTGTTCTGAGGGTTAAAAAAAGTCGTGATAAGTGTTGAGATAATGATATGTTTCGAATCGAGATGTCTGCTAATATTTACAAGTCGAAGACTTATTTAAATGTTATAAACTCACTTGAAACGGACTGTATAATAATGCGCGTACAGTTCACACACTTAAACTTTGACAAACTTATTCCCAAACACCAACAGTTATTCTAAACCAAAAGAGATTAATTAGTATTAGCGTTATTGATAAAAATATAAAATATTGCTTTTTATTTACTTGCAGTATCTCCAAAATTACATTTGCAACACGCCCTTTGTTTCAACATACTTTACTATTGGAGCAAGTGATCATCCCGATACGAGACATTGCGTATAAGAGTCATACAAGAATTACATGAAAGTTACACATATTTGCTATCAGTGAATACAACTTGGTCAAGTATTGTGGAGAACGTTTACTATTAATAGTCATAATCAAATCAAAAACCTTTTTTGTATTGTGTTTCCTCGCACACACAAGCTACATGTTTTTCTGCGCTGCTGATTGCAGGGAGAACTGCGATTAAGAATATGTGAGTATCATCTTCGCCGATGTAGAATATTAACATATGCTTTATTCTTCAACTATTGATGTTCTAATACATCGATTGTTCACAATTACAAATCTACCATTGAAGAGAAGACGATGTAGACTTTTGTTTAAATCGATATTTTCAGTTTTCGTTCTTGCGTAATTTACGAACGCCGTGGCTGTGCCTGGAGCACAATATCTTCATGGCTTGAAGCTGCATGATACAATATAGACTTTTTTGGTTATAAATAAGATTCTGCGCAAAATTGATAATCTAAAGTTGTCTCACAAAACGGGTTTATTTCGAATAAGGGTTTATGATGTGCGCCAAATAGCCTCACTTGGACAGGATCGTTTAAATAAGGATAATAGAATAACAAGAATGTGCATCATCAATGATAATTGAACATGACCAATCAAGGCCAGTGTGATCAGTCGTCATGGAACCCTATATTAACATGTCAAGACCGAACAGCAGTCACAAATGGCAAGCACGCAGTTTCCGAAATTCAGTGGAAAGGTAACTAAACGCGGTGATGTTGACTACGAGGCTCAGAGCTATCAGTATGCATCGAGCTCATACTTGAAAGAGGGAATCATTCAACCGGCGGCTATTATAAATGCAGCAGACGAAAGCGATGTGATCAAAGCCATCAAGTATGCGAAAGACAACAACATCGCTGTGGCCATACGCACAGGAGGTCATCAATACAGCGGCGCATCGTCCACAAGTGGGAAAAACATTCAACTCGATTTATCCTATACATACAGGGATTTTACTTGGGAGAATGATGATTGCACGATAGTGACGCTCGGTGTCAGCTTCTCGTTGGACGAGTTCAATAAAAGCCTTGGAGGAAAGAAACGATTTGTGCCACACGGTCAATGCCAAAACGTCCATGTGGGTGGACATCTCCATACTGGAGGATACGGTCAGTTGGGCAGAAGTTTCGGGCTCTTTTCGGATCACATCATAAAATTCCGCATTATTACCGCCGACGGTGAACCGCGTTGGGTTAAGCGCGGCGAGGTCGGGGACGCGGATTTGTTTTATGCCGTGTTGGGTGGGAGTCCTGGAAATTTTGGTGTGATTACCCATATCACGCTGCAGGTTCACAGAGACGAAGACTACCCGAATTCTCGCGGTTTCAGAGCCGTATACCCATGGGGCCGCCATCGTCTCCAAGCCTTGTTGGATGTCATGGTGGAAATGGCCGAAGATGAAAACTTCCCAGGCGATTTCGACTATTGTGTCACGGTATTGAGCGAGCCGCTGTCTTCGACCCTCGAGGAAGAAATAGAAACAAACTATGACAAGAAATTCCGTAAACAAGATCCAGTAGTAGTTTGGTGCCCGGTAATCTTTGTTTTCGTGCAATGGGCAAATTTGCAAGGAGCTCAGCAAGAATACGACCCAACCTTCGTCCATAAAGTTAAGCATGCCGGTGGGTCAATAAGGCATGTCGAAGTCCACGACACGAAGCACGTACCAATTTCTCAGTTGACCCGCCACTGGATTTTCCCAATCGCACGGGAGTTCGAACTTCCGTACATCAAGCGTACATACACGTCCAATTCCAAGTCTCAGAGGCTCAAGGATCTCAAGTGGTCGGAGTTGATTTCCCGTCAAATCGACGGTGTCGAACACGGAGTCAGTGTGTCAGCACAATTTCAGCATTTTGGTGGCTCCAAGTCGCGATTCCACCTGAACGGAGTCAACAGTCCCACGTCGTTCAGTTGGCGAGACACAAACATTAGCTACACGATAGATGCTTTTTACAACCACGACCACCAACACGAGAGGGCGATAAAGTGGCAGCAAGGAAACGACAAGTTGGTTGGAAAGCCAGACGCAGCATTCTGCGAGCATGATCGTCGCGTTTTGTGGGGTTCGCACGATTTGGACTTGAGTGCCAATAAGGAGTATTATTACGACAAACACCCAGAAGGAAAGTACGAACGACTGTGCGAAATCAAGAAAAGGCATGACCCGACGGGCGTGTTCACTCCAAACAGATTTTGCATCGGTCTCCCAGTTCCAGATCCAGCAGGGGGCGTGTCTTCGGCTTCCAAGTTTGAAGCGCAGCCTGCTACTGTTAGAATCAAGCACGCTGGTTTGGAGATCATAGAGAAAGTAGCCGCTGTCATAGAAATGAGCGTTGAAGATAAATTTTGGAAATTGACGTCGATGAAGCGCGAGGAAGGCAAGCCTGTTCCTCTGTGGGATACATGGAAAGTTGAAGGTCATGATGAGATAGAGACGGAATCCTGAAGTCGTGCCTTGCTGAACAAGAGTAGTGTTTTGATGAGATAGGGGAGAAGGGTCTCGGTGGCATATCTGATACTGTAGTTTTTCTTTATTTTTGTATCAATAAAAAACCAAAATCAAAGTCCTTAAGTTTATTATTAAGAGGGGGGGGTATTGTATTCGAATATTTTGACATTTAGCATATTTAGTGAATGCCAGTCTCGTAACTCGTTTCTGCTGGTAAAGAGCAAAAATATATTAGGTAATCTGGTTGACATCTCTACCAGAACTCGCAAGCATTCAGCAACAGTCGAAAACTTACCATCAAAGCAAATGTTTGTTAATCGTCGACACTTTTGTTTTTTCATCGTGGGCACTCGTTTTGAACAAGAGTTTTGGTAACTAGCTTTTTCTTATAACTTGGACAACTCCCAACGCAACATTGAATCCGATCAGCCAATCAAGTGCGTAGATTACTGCTTCGATCAACATACGATACGATATGGCTTTTTATCTATTAATCCAACGCCTTCAGGCAAGAATCCAACGCATAAGACAACCTTGTGATGATAATGGCCATCAAGAAAAATTAGTTGCGCTAAAAATGACTCTTATTTTTCTAACAGAAAATTACAAAGTAATTTCTGTAAAAGTAGAAAGAAAATTGTTTTTGGGAGAATTGCCCATTACCTCAATTTTTGGTACAGAGACTTTTCTTTTCGGATTCTTGCTTCCATGAAGAATAATCACTAACGTATTCAGTAACTCAAAGCATATTTTTACAATAATATGTCGGGCCATGTTTACTTACAATTGTATTGCATTCCGCACCAATAGAAGAACCACCTGATCGTAGGATAATCGAAAAATCAAATGGGAAATATCTGCTGGAATGCGCTGCCGAAATTCCGAATGTCACTTAGCTTTCACAGCTTCTTTGTTCCGTGGGGGTGTGAATTTAGTAGAATTAGCCGAGTTTGAGCTTAGTTAGAGCACCAAGTAGTCAAGTAAGAAGGTGCATTAAGCTAGTGATAAGCAATCAGTTTTGGTATAATAGTTGTAGTGGCAATTTTTGAATTTTATTACTAATACAGTCAAACCACACGTTTTCGGGACCATAGTGAAAAAAAATCCAAAAGTGTGTATTTAGAGGGATTGTGCATTTAGAGAGAATGTGCATTTACAGAGAGCAAAATATATAATGTTCTTATAGCTGGGACTGAACCATACCATGCATTTATGGAGAGTTTATATAGTGTGTGCATTTAGGGAGGGTGCACTTAGGGAGAGTTCACTGTACTAAGATATTGTTAAATTGAGATGTGAAAAATATGTACATATCTGCAATTTGCCTATAAATAAATTTAATTCTAGAGTCTATGTAACAATTTGCATTATTGAGTAATAGTGGAGACAATATCATTTAGTATTAGTACATTAATGTTATGCTACCAAGCATTAAACTATGTTTACAATATTTCACTGTTTTAACAAATAAAGTTTATTTTTCATATTAATATCATTAAAGTACACACCTCAATTTTTCTTACAACTAATGCTAGTTTTGTGGCATCAACTACCACACTTCTGTTTTGCCTTCCTATAACCACATCAGCTATCAATGCATGTGCCTTTACTGCCCTCTCTTGTCACTGAGGTATATCCATCTAACTCAGCTGTCTCCACTATATTCATGTCATTACATCCATAAGTAACTATAACATTCAAAATCACCATCCTAGCTGATATCCCATTTGTCTTTTCCAGCATCACAGTTAAGGAATGATTCAATAAGTATAAGTACAACTTTATTATTATTGCTGAACTACACAAAGCTCATTTTAACTCTATCTAAAGATAGAGCATGCAATAAATGAGGGAGAGTTATAAGATCCCACCCCACAACCAAGGTAATATAGTAAGAGAGAGGAGAACTATGGAGGAGGTGGAGAAAGGAGAGAGAAATGTGAGATACAGAAGGCCAAGGGGCTTTAGGAAAAGAAGAGAGATGGAGGGATCTGTAGCTGAGAATAAGATGAAGAGGGGATGTTTTAGTTTATGAATCATGAGAGAAAGGAATTGGAGAAGAATGAATGTACAACTTTACAGAAACCTGTAGTTTTTATAAATCTCTCTGTGACATCAGAATAAGATTACCACTATCTAACAGGCATCACGTAATGAGATTGCCATGAGGATTCTAATTTTAGTGTATTGTGAAGATGTGCCCAC